TTTTGTAATTACAAGTTTCTATGTATTTTGGTTGTTTAAAAAATGGAATTGCAGTCTGTTTTTAACTATTTCTATAAACATAGTTGTTGTTATGTAGAGATTAATTACAGTTTAGTCAATTTAATTTACACAAAAGTTGTTCTTTGAAATCTTTGCAATCAAATAAACAAAATTAAAATAAATAGTAAAGATAAACATAGTCAAAAAACAAAATTTTAAATTATTTAAATCTTATTTAAAATAACTTATAAAATAATTATAAATTAAATTTAATAACCTGACAGTTCTGCAAGCAATTCAATTTTTTTCTCAATTGGGGTTTCTGCATTTGTTATTTCTAAAACAAAAAAAATGAAGAACTAATTACTGATGTCACTCAGATATCAGTGATAGTTTAAGTTGCCACAAAATATCACAGAATCAATAAACTAAATAAATTTTTAAAAATTTCTTTTTTTTCTTTTTACTTTTTTGATTCAGGTAACATTTATCTGTTTTAGTATTAGTATTAGGCACTCTTTTTGGGTTGATTACAAAAAAAACTTTCATGTTTGATTCAACTCACTAAATTCTTTTTAACAAACTCTATTTGTGAGCTTTATTTATTTATGAACTTTATTTTTTTGATATATATATACAAATAGTATTGCGTACTAAGGTAAGCAATCTGACGTCATAACGTCTGTTCACAAAATTATCCGGACTGATTTCAAATGTACAAAATATCCGGACTGATTTCAAATGTACACAAATTGTTCTAAATTTTGAATTTTCGATTCAAAATTTTTAAATTTAATTGATCAACAACAACAGTTTCATTTTGTGGCAAAATTGAGTTTAAATAGTGCTTCCAATACCGGTAGTACCGATACCGGTATACCGGTAGTACCGAACTTTTTCAAAAACCGAAATACCGGTATTGGTTTGGCTCAATACCGGTATTAAAAATATATGTAGAGGGCTTGAGGTATAGTAGATGGGAAAGATTTATTTTCGCAAAATACGAAATTAAATGATAGGGGAAAGCAGGGCAACATGGCGAATGGGGCAAGATGGGTTTTCGTATAACAACTCAACAAAAAATCTTTAAATTTGGTGAAAACAAAACTGTATTTGTGTCTTATATTTTAAAAAACAAATTGGTTTTTTGAAATATTATTAACGCAATTTTATACGCATAAGTTTACTTTTTGCGCTTAAAAAAAAATTCCTCACTTTCGATTTCTCATAATGGATGGTGTCCTTCAAGTTTAACTTCTTTAGAAGTAGTTTTTTACAATTTGTATATATTTTTTGTTACTTTAGTTAAATTTATCGGTAGTTTTGAAATTTTATAAAATTGGAGGTAAAAATTGCATAATAAGTCATCTTGCCCCGGTCACGTGACGAGATGGCAAATTTATGAACTTTTTATTTTAATATTTATTTCAAATTGTTAGATTTGCAAAATGAAAATTTATGCAGGCAATGAATCATTCTAATAACATAAACATACTGAGAAAGTATTATTGCTTCACGACTGATAGTTTTGCAATAACTCAGGCCTTTCAAAACATTCGCCATGTTGCCCCACTTTCCCCTATTTTTAAAACTATCAGTCGCGATAAACAACGCTCCTGGTGGGATAAAGATAGCTAAATGACAAAAATTGTGTTTAAAACGTGTAAAACACGTATTACTAACTATATTACTTCTTAAAGCGTCTTTTATCCATAGGTAGCGACTAGCTAGATATTCGCTGGCTAGTCGCTAGCTCATTTCCCACCGGGTTTGTTCATCTTGTAACGAGAGTATAAAATCAGGCTTGCTAAAGAGTTTGGAATGGAGAAAATAATAAGTTGTTTAATTGAATTTTTATAAAAAAAATTATTGTTAAAAATATTTAGTATAAGATGAAACTTGTTTAATTTCAAAGTAAAATTTTGTCTTCCTTCTATTATTAAAGCACTGATTTAAAATATTATCATTACATCACTTGCTTTAATGTAGCTACATGTACACTCAAACATGGGATCTATAGATCCCATGTTTGAGTTTTGCACTAACGTAAATATGAAAAGTTTTAAGTCGTTACAGTTATGAACATTTTTAATTTAGTAAAAATGTCAAGATGATAGATTATTAATTGTTTTTTATGGTGTAACTTATAAATGTAAAGTTATAGAATCAACAGCAATTATAGTTACGCTTACTTAACTTTATACATTTTGAAATAAGAACTAAATATCAAGATTTTATGTCTAAGAGATAGAATTACCTTAATATCCAGAAAAACATAAAAGATCCTAAAAATTATTCAAACCGTTCAGCACTGTTCGAGTTGATGAAAGTTCTGCGTGGTTTTACTTTCTGCTTGATAAAGAAAATTAACTTGCAATATGTAAGAAGTGCAAAAAAGAGATAAAATCAAATGGTGGTGTACCAGTGTACTGAACACACATCTAAAAACTAAGCACAAAATTGACTTGTTGACTAGGAAATTTTCCCAAGATGCAGCACCATCATCGGGTTTTTTTTATTGGTACCATTAACAACGGACGAAAAATCCAAACCTCTGATCACCAATTTCTTACAAAATTAGCGCGACAACTCGTTGTTCTCAGTTTTTCTAGATTGAACACCTTTTATGTTGGAATCTTGGATTAGCGAGAGTTGTTGGTTCGTCGCCTGCTGAAAAATGCATTAATTTAGTTCAAAAATTGTTGACATTTTATGTTGAATTGGAGCGTAGATTCTCAGCAAGTGGCAACATTATCACAAAATTTGATCATCTTTTGAGGATGATATTCTAAACGTCCGATATTTTTTACGGGCTCATTTTACAAAGGAGAAAAAAGCGAAAAATGAAAAAGTTAGTTATTTTGATATAAAATAAATAAGCATATTGAATCAATGAAATTTTTACTATTAACTTGAGTTTTTATTCATATTATGATAAATTTAAAAAAAATTTAATACCAATATAATACCGGTATTACCGGTATTGAAATTATTCAGTACCGAAATACCGGTATTGAAAAATGGTATCGGTATTGGAAGCACTAAGTTTAAATAATTAATTCAAATAAACATGGAGCATCTAAAAGAGAACGATGTTAGAAATGTGATTGGAAATTTTTATAAACAAAACATAAACAGTGGAAAGAAATTTACAGTGGATCATTTTAAGAAAATGGGAATCGCTAAATCTACAATTTATGACATAATTAAAAGGTCTTAAAATAATTTTGCCAATGAAAAGAAAAATCGGTTGCAGCAAAAAATCTTTTAAAATCACACCAGAAAAGATAGAGTCCATGATTGAAAGAGCAGAAGAGAGAATCGGGATTTCGCAAAGAAAATTGGCACTAAAATATAAGATAAGCGTTTCATATGTAAATAGATTATTAAGTATGCATGGACTGAAGTATACCAAAAGAAAAAATAATTATTTTATTAAAAACTGATCGCATTTAACTGACAAACGGAATTTAGATTATTTTAAAATGGAATTTAGATTATTTAACTTTTTACAAAGAGGAATTTCTAATTTCGAAAAAGTTTGAATGAAATAAAAAGCAAAAAATAAATAAATAAATAATTGTTACGAAAATTGATCTCGTGAAAATTTTAATTATAGAAAACTTATTTGTTTAAATGCAAAAGTTGTCGTATGTAAAATTCTATGTAAAAATATATTAATTTTTTTTCAAATTAATATCAAAAAACATCTGGAAATTTCTGGAAAAATTAAAGGTGTTTTAAGTGAATTTCCGGAATTCCTACAATTTCTGGAAAAAACTCATCTATGATAATACCCTTAGTTAATTCAACAAATAAAATATTTCTTAATAACAACAAAAAAATTCAATGGAGACTTCAAACCTGGTAGTTTACTATCTAAATCAAAAAAAATAATAAAAATAGTAGTAAAATTTAATCTAAATAATTACCTACTGGATCCATATCTTGAATTTTTTTTTCAAAAGCTTTAAGCGCTGCTTTTAAATGCACTGCTTTCCCAGAATTACTTGACTTTTCATCAGCTATTGTTTGTGCTAAAATTTTTATTTTGGTTTCTTCATTGTCACCGTTTGAAGTTTTATTCAATGAATTTTCAATAGTACTAGAATTTGAAATTGGAACACATTCTAAACAAAAGTTAATTTGTTATTAGCATTTCATTAAATACTAAAACTTTAAATAAATTTTGCAATAAAAAAAAAAAAAGATTTATTAAAATATTTGTTCAGAAATTTTAAAAATCTTCATTACATTTTTTTCTTTAGTTTATTTACTTTGGTGAATTTATAAAATATTTGTAAAAAAAAAAAAAAAAAGAGAAAGAAAAAGTGAAACTATGACGTGAAGCAATTTGCTCAAATTTGTTTATTAAAGTTTAATTTCAAAAAAAACCATCATTAGTTTATGAGTAAAGTTTTAAAACTATTTTAGGCATCTTGGGTAATTGCATGATAGAGTAGTGGTAGAGCACTTTTTTTAAAGAGGTTTGTAGTTCACACCTTTTCTGTAATTGGAAATTACAGGGATGGTATTATAAGTTATAACACTCAAGTTATTTGCGCTGCAACTATTTTATATCATAAAAGCTAGTGTTTTGGAGTTATAGGGTTGAAGAGGGGTGTTAAGATGAAAATATAAATTAAAAAATTAAAGACTAACTTTAGTCCACAAGAATTTTAAAACCAACCTGTTTTAAAAAAATATGCACACAAATAATACACATTTGACACAACCAGAGGCATACAAATTTGAGCTACTAGGTGTCACAGTTTTTATGTACAGTGCAAAAAGTAGTAAAACAAGTTTTTATTGCACTTTCCTACATAAAAACTGGACATCTAGTAATCTTACAGGAAACGCATTTTAAGTGTTGCTCATGCATACATTCAATACTTTTTATGCATGGATGAGTCATGTTTACACACATTAAAATTAATTTTTATTCATAGGTATATATGTATTTTTATGAATCTTTCATTTAGTTGTTAACAGGGTAGTATGGTATAACAAATATGTAAGATATCCACTTTATGTTTAAGAATAAATGTATAGAGTACATAATATTTCAAAAAAAAGGTATAGAGTATATGAGTTTAAGGGAATTTTTAAGTACCATAATTCAACATTTAAAAATAATAATTTTAACAATAATAAACATATTTTAATTTTATTCACATTTTATTTTTAAAAAAATTCTGTACAGTCCATCCATACAAATTACATAAAGTTATGTGAAGAATATACCTTAAAAAGATTTTAGTTTATTCTATCATAAGCTTAAAAAAAAATCTTTTATCTACAGAAGAACAGCGCCCTGATGAAAAATTTGGAAAAATTATTTAGGATTTGTAAATAACTTGTGAATTGTATGAAAAATTATGCTTTAAAAGTATCAAATCCAACCTTAAAAAGTCTAAACAAATCCTATATAAACTCTGAAATCATTTTAAATAGTGTAAAAAGACTTGACAGAAATGTCTAGAAAGTAATAAGAGAATTTAAAATGGTCTAGAAAGTAATAAAAGAATTTAACAATTTTTATTGCATAAATAAGGTGTCATATAAAATACATTAATGGTGGTTTAACAAAACCAAAGATTAACACCCTTCATGCTCATGATAATCAGCTTATAAGACAATGTACTAAATAAAGATGAGATTCTTTTAAATGGCTTCATTAGCATAGATTAAATGGTTTAGTTGTTGAAGAACGTTAAAAGTTACAAAAACAGATTTTGTGATTTGTATTAAAAATAATTTTCACTGAAAAAGGTTTGTCACAAGTTGAGAAATTCTGGACTTTGATTAAATCATTGCTTGTGCTAAAGGAAGAAAAGGAGACAAAGTGTCAAACAATGACTCCTTTTGAGCCAAATTTGCAGTTACTTAAATATTAAAATCAGAGTTTTATTAGGCGAACATTGAGCTGATATTTTCCATTGCCATTTTATTTTTAAAAGCAATAATTTATCTGTATACTTTTCAAGAAGTCATATATTACTAAATGATTAATATCATGTAATACAGAGCACCAAATATTGAAAATTTAAAAAGAGTTTATCATAATATTATTGTCTATATTTTACACTTCATTTTTATAACGCTTTTTTAATTGAAAAAATGCCATCACCGCACAGTGGGTCAGAATGTGAGAATAGTACAAAAAAAAAAAGGGTTTAACGGCATGATGCTAAACAGTAAAATTGATTCTCCAGTACATTTGAGTATAAGAAATTAGTACTTTTATTGTACTAAGGCTCCAGATTAAGCCTTTTACTACTAAGGTTCCAGAACAATATATATCATGTTTAATTGAAAAGATTTTAGATTACTAAAAATTTTGTAAAATTTTAAGTCACCATTGACAATGTTGATAAGCAACAATTTTAAATATTACTTATACTATTGTGAAATATATTTTGTAATTTTTTTCAATAAGCCTATTGGTTTTTGATTTCTAGAATTTTCAATTACTTAGTAAGATATAATAGACTTTAATTTCTTAATCAACTTGTTGCCCCTCACATATTATAAATCAAGTACCACCAACACTACAATATTCAAACAAGAAGGCTCTTTTTATTTTACTAGATTGTCATATAAGTTGACTATTTATATTTACATAATGAAGTATTAAATATGAAGAGTAATCTATACCCTCTATACAGCTCTGTATTTATGGCTAGAAAATAATCCATGCCTCCAAAAGAATTAATAACTGTATCTGACTACAAAGTTGAAGTTAATTTACTAGACCTTGTTGATCATATTACACAGCCCATATGTGTTCTTTAAAATGAAGTATTGAAATTAAGGCTTTTTCAAAGACTGATTTTGTGAAGCAAAACTAGATTCGATTGTTCCACTTGTAAATAAATTTATAAGCAGTTTACATCATCTGATCTTCCACGGCATCTAGCTTCCAAAGAATGTTTCTTTCTAACTTGTCTTGTCCCGCTCAATTTTGATCCATGAAAATTGATCCATCAGTTGTTAATCTTTAGATGTCTAATTTTGCTAACTTAGACTTGTATTATTTTTATATTGTGGTACTTGCATGTACATTTCTTTTATATTGACTATGTTTTTTCTGTATAAATTAAATAAAAAACTATTTCAGCGTATTAAAAAATGTTCATGGTTGATACCAATGAATAAACTATTTTAATATGTAGAGCAAGGCCTAAACTTATATATTTACAATAACTATTATAACAAAGCAAATGTAATTATTGCTATGCAAATTTAGTGTCTAAAGGGACAAAACAATTCATAAAAACAATATCTCTACAAATCACATCATCCATTTAATATGTATACCAAAATTTGTTACAATACTGTACTGGTTTAAAAAAATAATAATTTTGTCTCAAATTGACTTTATTATAAACCAAAAAACCTGGTTGCTTACAATTTAGGTATCCATAGCAACCAAACAACAAAAATGTTACCTTCATTAGGAGCACAGACCTCATATTAGTGTTTGGTGAACATATGACTAATAAGTAAAAAGATATGAATTTTGTCTCAAAAACCAGATGTTCTGACCCACTATGAACCGCACAGTGGTTTATAATCAAAAGATGGAATTAATTCCAGATTTGCGAAAATTTAATATAAAAAGTTTTGATTATTCAATACTCTAAGTATAAATTTTATAGCACAAGTTAAGCAACCTTAGTTTTTGCAAGATTTTATTTAAAATGCGTATTAAAAGAGGTTTATTTATTTCGGTAGGGGTTAGAAATATTTAAACCCCGGTTAATTCATTTCGCCAAATTATAAAATAATTAAACTCCTGGGGTTAATTTATTTCGAAATGGGATTTAAAATGTTTTAACCGGGAGTTAACTTTTGGGGGAGTAATTCCATTTTGCGGCACCGGCCTAAGTATGCTATTATTTCCTATAAGAAATAATATTTTGGAAATACAGTTGAATCCCGTTAACTCAGAAACTGGATAAGTCGGACTTTTACTAAGTCGGACAGAATTTCAATTCCCCTCGAACATTTTCTATCAATTTACTGTAAAATCATCCGGTTATGTCGTCCCCTGGTTATGAGGTCCCTTCGGCAAAAAACTTCGCTTAACTAGAATTATTATTATTTTGAAATGTATATAAGTAGGGGGTCCATAATCATCTTTTTTTTAGATTTTTTATAGTTTAATCAATTTTTCTTAATTAGTTTTTCATGCTGATTCTGAAAATCATAGTTATTTTTTTTTTCATTTTAATTATTTAGCTTTCTACTTTGATTTTAATAAAAGTGAATATATTGACAAAAAAAGGCATTGTTAAAAATAGATGAAATTATTATCATCATTAAATAAAAGAAAAGTAGAAAAGTAGAAATCTTTTTCAGTTTAATTTATCAATAATATACCTTATAATTTATAAGTAACAAAAAAAATTAAGCATTATATATGAAAATAATTCATACAGTCTGTTATTTACTATTGAAAATGGAAAATAACTAGAGATTGCTGCGGGAACTTTCCATGTAGAACATCTAGGTTATGAGCGTTTTCTTTGATAGGTTATGAGCGTTTTCTTTGATAGATGGAGGTTTGTGTTTTTATATCAACAATCATGTATTTAATCAGAATAGACCTCCGCGACAATGACCTACATTGTATCCCTAAAATATGTTGCCTTGTAACTTTAATCAAGCTAAAATAGAACTCATCTTGCACACCTGATGTAAAGTTTGCTGCTCTTCCATTGTTAACCATTTGTTTTTGTAGCTGGTTTCAACTATACTCCATAGTTTCAACTTTTTGAACAAATAATTGGACAATAATTTTCCAAAATATTTTTAAACTACGCGAACCATCATTTTTTATATGGTTTAAATAATTAAGTATACATCTACTGTTGAAATTAAGTATACATCAATCAAGTATACATCTACTGTTGAAATTAAATGGGTGTTTTCCAAAGCTTTCCAACAGCAACAACTTAATTAGAAAGTTAATACTAATCATATTCCATCATCAACCAAACACATAATACTTTTCGCTTTTTTGAAGTCCTGAGGCTAACTTTTGCCAAAATTCTCTAGCAAGAATGATACAATCATTCAACCTCTTTAAGGTATACTTATTAACTGCTTCTAGAATTTTTTT